AACCCTCCCTTATGTAGCGTCCTGCTCAAAGATGCAAGGCCTTACTTCACCACAGTATTTCAGAATAGTGTGTACAGAGTATTGAAGGTTAACTGAGAAGGAAACTACCCATTACACTATGGTACAATGCCATGTGTCAAAAACAATCACCCTTTGGCTTGTTTACATTAATAAAAATCACAAGCTTTAATAACAGACACTTAAAAATAAGATAAAAATGGATTGAAAGTTTTTCTGATTACTAAAAGGTAAATTACTTTTCTATTCATTGAATGTCAGCCTTATTAAGCTTGTCATATAAATTATGAAATCATTCATGTCATACTGCATAAACGTTCATTTCAGAGTTTTAAAGTGAAATGTATATAAAAGAACAATGAATTTTAATAAATCAAGGGTATGTAAGTCCTTTTTCATCCAACTAGGTGAATTGCTTCAGATTTTCCCTAGTACCAGAGTGTACCCGCTCAAGCTCTTTGAACCACTTAGGGCAGAAGAATCAAGCTCTGAAATGATATCCTTACGATGCTGATGCTGGTCACAACCTCTTTACCTCTGTGAGGAAATTGTAACATGTGTCTTTTAAGGTGTTTTTATTTTACCAGCCCTTAAGAAAGATCTCTAATACCTTTTAATGCTTTTTTTATGTATATATAATTTCAAGTTGAAATGTTTTTAAAAACACCTTGTTTTGTAATGGTTTGACTCTCTTGAGATGTATTTACCCCACTAGATACATATTTGCCACTGGCTAGTTCTCCATCTAAGCTCAAGAGGTTATTCATCTCTCTTTAGATTCCAGTGGTTTTTCTTTTAACATCCAGGTAAAATAGAAATTGCTATAGTATACAACCAAATTTTGGAGTTAAACATAATCAGAAAAGAAAATCCAGTTAAATTTATCAAGTGAGATTTTCAGATCCTAGATCTTGAATAAAGCAAAGGTCTTTTCATCTTGATGGCCCCAAAGCTTGTTGGTCATGGTCTTTATTCCCGGCCACTGTCTTCTTAAATAATATATTTTAAGTCCTCATTTGTTTTTGGTTTTGGATGAGGAAAGTCATGTTCTCTAAGTCCTCTCCCCTAATAAAACCTTCCCAACAATAGTGCTTTGAAAAGTGGTAAATAGTTATCTTGAATATACTCTTGCCAAATGCAAAGATAAACATTCTTTTTGTCTGCTTTATAAATATGAAATATGCCAGATCTATAGTATTTTAATGTGCATCTACTTTAAATGAGTCATCTTGGGGTTTTTATAATTCCCTTACATTCTTGCCCCTCTGTACTTGAAATAACAAAATGCCTTAATTGTATAGATGAGTTCTCTTACAATAGACAGGCAGTTATATACAGCAAAACCAATAAAGTTATTTTTCAACTTTCACAGTTGTAAAATATTTTATAACAGGATACAAAACAGCTAAGAAAACATGCCACATTTTATTTATTTTAGCATTTTCAAATAATTTGTTTTTGGTGTAAGCACAGGATAAAAAAGGAAAGCGTCAAAGAAAAGAGACGTAACACCTAACATTCATAAAAATTAACAAAGTACATTTTGGATGATGTTTTCACAGGAAATATTTTAAATAAGTTGGTAGAATTTTTAAAATGGTACTGTATTAGCTAATAAAACATTCAGTACAAATATATGTTTGGATTTATGCATTAAAAACTAATAAAATTATTTTCAACTTTTGTATTTGTAAATTATTTTGGTACAGGAGACAAAGCATCTAAGAAAGCATGCCACACATTTTACTTATTTTAGCATTTTCGAATAATCCATTTCAGTGATGTGTGGGGCAAAAAAGGAAAAGAGACATAATACCTAACATTCATAAAATTAAAGTAACACATTTCAGATGATGTTACAGTAGCAAAGACTTGGAACTAACCCAAATACCCATCAATGATAGACTGCATAAAGAAAATGTGTCACATACACACCATGGAATACTATGCAGCCATGAAAAAGGATGAGTTCATGTCCGTTGCAGGGACATGGATGAAGCTGGAAGCCATAGTTCTCAGCAAACTAACAGAAGAACAGAAAACCAAACACCACATGTTTTCATAAGTGGGAGTTGAATAATGAGAACACATGGACACAGACGGGAGAACATCACACACCAGGGCCTGTTGGTTGGGGATGGGGGTTGGGGGTAAGGGGAGGGAGAGCATTAGGACAAATACCTAATGCATGCGGGACTTAAACCCTAAATGACAGGTTGATAGGTGCAGCAAACCACCATGGCACATGTATGCCTATGTAACAAACCTACACGTTCTGCACATGTATCCCAGGACTTAAAATAAATTTTAAAAAGTCAGTAGAACTCAACAAAAAAAGGATGAGATGTATTAATGTTCCATACACATAAGATGTTTTCATATATATTTATGTTATTTTCATGTACTCTCGGTGTTAAGTAACAGTAAAGCCCTTGAAGATCCTGTTTTCTGTCTTTTCTCATCCTTCACAATGCACACATTTTGAAATTGAAATTGTTCTGATATAAAGGGAGAAATCACGGGTTGCAGGGCTTACTAGCTATGTTTACATTAGCAGTGCTGTTTCTTAGGCATTTAAAAATGATTCTGTGTAGTCTTACACAGAAGGCAATACACTATGATGGAAATAGTGTGAGCTATGCAATAAGATGGATCTAAGTATGAATACTGGTTCTTCCACTAGTTAGGTATATTGCCTACCATCTATTCAAAAGATACTCATTAAGCACTTACTGTATTTCAGGCACCGTGCTAAGGTTGGGTCATGTTGCTTAACTCCATGAGCTTTCTTCACCTGTAAAGCAGAACTCACAGTACCTACTTAGCAGGGTCATTATGAGGATTAGTGAAACAATGTTTTGAAGTACCTGGCACATAAAGGCACTCAACAAACACTAGTTTCTTCTGCACCGCCCCCTACAGCTCACTAATAACCATTTCAGTAATATCAAGTTACAGAGTGAGGTTAGCTCATTTCAGAATTCCAAATAGTCTCACCTTTATTTGATGTCATCAAATAGGAGAACTGGGCTGCAGCTCGTTCTTATACAAATTGTTCTACTAAATTCTTGCCTGTATATATTTTATGTTTTATTCTTTTGAAACATGAGGAGATTTTCACTTAATGCAATGAAGCTTTTTCCATAGTTTCTAGGATCCTATTTTTGCGCACTAATCTGAAACTATGGCCAGAAGTGAGGTGCACACAAGCTGCAACAATTCCTTCCATCATCCAGTTGTCAGAAGCTAATGCACAGCTCGACAAATAGTATGTGTCCTACCACTTTGCTGCTGACAGACACCAAAAATCTGAGTACTTTAATAACAAAATGATGTTTATATTTTTATACATTACATGTTTCTGTTATATATGAAGGACAAACTCATAGAAAAATTAGTTTTGAAAAAAACAGGACATTTTAAAGAAGGGGACAATTACATATATACACACACATAGTAGCAAAAATGGCAAAAGCTCAAAAGTAGTTAAGATATACAGACAGACACTGCGATGAACATCTTAGTGCATACTTTATGATTTTAAAGTTATTTCCATAGGATAGATTTCATAAAGTTAAATTTCCTTAAAAAATGGTGGACACCCTTAAAGCCTTCCATGCAGTTAGCCTCAAATTACCTTTGCAAAGGTATGCATGCACCTTTTGGATTGTATGCACCACCAATAGTGTGTATAACAATGCTCGTTTTACAACACTCTGAGATTAATTAGCCTTATTAAGAATATATTTTGCTAATTTGTGAGGCCCAACATAGTATTTGTTATTATTTTCATTTGTATTTGTTCTATGTCCAAAAAACTCACCATATTCTTTAGAAAGTGTACATCTCTGAAGTTCTGTATGGGTTCATATTCTTTAATTCATTGAGTCTCTTCATAAAGGATGGGGATTGAGATAAGGGGAAAGAAAAATCTTTGAAAATTCTTAATATGAGAAATATAAGGAAATTTTCAAAAGGGCAGGTATATATATATAATTTCATGCACAAAAGTCAAATTTAAATGGGTCAAGGACTTAAATGAAAGCAAAACTTTTAAAGTCTTAGAAGAAAATAGGGAAATACAGATGAAAACTACATGGTAACATTCACATGTTGGATAAGAATTGGTGAGGACAGGGTGCCACAAGAACTCTCATGAAATTATAGTAGCAGTGTAAATTGGTACAGCCACCTTAGAAAATAAGTCATTATTACCTAATAAGTTTTAAAGTAAGTAGTCTCTGCAATTTATAGTTTCACCTGAAAGAAATGTTGGTACAAATATACCAAGGAAACCAATTACAAGAATCTTCATGGAAGCATTATTTGTACCTGAGGGAAAAAAGCTGGAAACAACTCAAAGGCCCACCAACAGAATGGACAAAATGAACACTTCCATACAATGTAATATTGTGAAGGAGTGAGTGTGATCTACAGTCACAAGCATCAGCAGGAACCAATGTCAAATAGACTGTTAAAGATAAAATACTAAGTCATCAAAGGGGATGTGTGTGCATGTCAATATATACGCCATTTACACATGGCCTAAAAGCAAACAAGACAATATTATAGAAGATACAGTGTGGCAAAATAGCGAAAGCATGGGCATAATTCAAAACAGGCTGGTGATCACTTCTAGGGAAGAATGCAATACAGGAGAAGCCCTGGGTGCTTCAATGTTAATATTCAATTTCTTGGTGTTAAGTATACAAGTGTTCATTTTACACTTCTTTAAAATGTGTGTGTATATATATGTATATATTTATACTCTTCAAAGTAGGACTTTGATTCCTCATCAGGGGTTCTTAAACCTCATGTTCTCTTTAGGTAGCTCTGGGTGCTTAAATAAGCATCAAGAGTTGTTCTGATGACACGTCCAGCTGTTCAAATAAATGTTCAAATTGTAGATTTTATTGTTTCCATTTGTGCAGTGTATTTTTTTCCTTCCAACTTCTGTTTCAGGTTCAGCGTACATGTGCAGGTTTGTTATGTGGGTAAATTGCATGTCATGGGGGTTTGGTGTACAGATTATTTTGTCACCCAGGTAATAAGCACAGTACCTGATAGGCATTTTCTCAGTCCTCCCTCTCCTCCCACCCTCCACCCTCAAGTAGGCCCTGGGGCCTATTATTCCCTTCTTTTTGTCCACGTGTGCTCAATGTTTAGTTCCCACTTATAAGGAGCACATACAGTATTTGGTTTTCTGTTCTGTGTTAGTTCACTTAGGATACTGGCCTCCAGCTCCATCTGTGTTGCTGCAGAGGACATGATCTCATTCTTTTTATATGGCTGTATAGTATTCCATGGTATATATG